AGGAATCGTCGGAGAGGCTTGACTTGATCATTGGGGATCTGTGCTTCCTGTGAATGGTGTGATTCCGAGGAGTTGAACTGCCCTTGGCTCCATCATGGGATGCCCCAACCTTTCGTAGCCCACACTTCCTTTAAGATTGCATGTGCTTCACAATGAACAGTGTTAACAAAAGCTCCTCATTTCGAAAGCCTGAGCCTCGTGCAGTCCCCCTTTTTGATAGATGCAAATGGGAAGCCTGCTTCTGCTAGAAGCACAACCCCACACAGGGAAACAAGCCCGGATTCCTCCTCTGTACGTTTCTGGGAGTTAATTGGCATGCTCTCTGTGTAATTGGCAAGGCAATCACCGACACCCCTGCTTGGCCTGCACTGGCCAGACTTGCCCTCAATTTACATTCAATTACTCGGCGCTGCTGCACACATAATTTAATGACGGCGTGGCAGCCCCATGACACACACCAGTAGGTTATCCAATTAAGCCACACTCACCTAGCATTTAACCATACCTTCGTTGTGAATGAAGTCCTTGTCCTATCATGGAACTCCATGGGAGCATGGGCAAAGCCACGGAAGTCCCGTGGGATTGGGAAGCCAGGCTTCCCTTCATACTGTCGGGCTGACCATCACCTCCCTCGGAATGGCCCTCCGACTCCATCCCCCTTTCTCATCTGTTAGCCCCCACCCCACCCAACCTGTCCAACTCAGCTGCTTCCTGTCTCTTTCCGTCACCAAGGCACACACCAACCTCTCCTCATTCTGTGAGCAGGGATGGATCACAGTATGGGCCTATGTGCTTTGGCCCAATGACGGTCTCACTTTTTATCTCCCCTCTCACCTCAGACCTGTTTTATCCTGCACCCACTGCCAGCGAGTCAATTCTGACTCACTTGGGCCCCATGTAGGGCTCTCCGGAGCTAGCAATCTTTACAGGCATCAATCAGATCACGCCATCTTTCTCCCGAGGAGCAGCTGGGGGTTTTGAACTGCTGACCTTGAGGTTCGAAGTCCCATGCTTATCTGACAGCAAACCAGACCAGGGTTCCTTTTAAAACCTGCTTTAGCACTCCACAGCTCCCCCAGCAGAACAGGGACATGGGGGGCTTTTATTAAAACAGGCTTTGAAAGGTAAGGTTAAGATAACGGCACATGCGCCAACTCTCATTGATCCTGTAGAACTTTGAGTTTCTGAGACGGTTCATCTTTATGGGAGTGGCCCCATCTTTCTCCCATGGAGTGGCTAGTGGGTTTGAACCACCAACCTGGTGATTGGCAGTCCACTGCTCTTCACCCATTGCACCACCAGGGATGCTTAATGGTACGCTTAGAACATGGAAACGAAAGTATTCCAACAATTTCAAAGGCTGCCCTTTGTTTGGTGTGGAAGTCCTTCATTAATAACAACCATATTTATCTATCTGCCTGCCTGCCTACCTACTTACATGCCTATGTGTAGCTAGGAGAGATAGATAAGAGGTAGGTAGTGGGGAAGATAGAAAAGATACATAAATGTACCAGATAGATAAATATGGCTAGATAGATAATGGAAGATAGAAAAGTGGATGGATGGATGGATGAATGGATGGACGGACGGACAAGATAGCTAGCTGGCAGTCATAAGGAGACTTGGCCTTAGACAAGTTTTAATTTAATTCCTCCACTTGCACCATTACAGACACCTTCAATTCAGTCCACAAAAACCACATGGTTCAAAGCTCCTAGCCGGTCCCTGCCTTTCTCTGAGACAAGATAAATTAAATCCCAGGATGACTCTGCAAACTCGTTTCATCCCATCCATCAAAGGCCTTTCTGCATCCAGAAACACACGGAAGGGAGTTCAGAGAATGGAGGGAGATGTGTAAGGAGCCAACAGACGGGACACCGATCAAACATCCGTGGAAGGGAAGCAGCTCCCAGGGAAAGCGATTAAGGCGAACCCTCCCGCAGCCAGCGCAGAGGGTGTACAAACCAAAGTCAGTCCGAGAGGCCGTGAGCACATGGAGCGGAAGTAGCTCTGACCAAGATCTTTTTCCAACGCAAGTGAAACAGCGGTGCCCCTCCAGGGCACTGAGGACCGTGAGGATGACAAGGCAGGGACTGGCTCTGGGGTAGCTGAGCATGGCTGGGCCTTCAGTAGTAGCTCTAGGAAAAGCTTAAACAGCCTTGACAAGAGTGAAGCCATTTTGAGCTGACAGAGCCATGATGAACTGTAAATGAACTAGCTACAAACTATAAATGAACTAGCTGATATTAGGGAGGCAGGCTGTGCTGACAAGGGCAACATAATGTACCGAAGGAAATGTATGTTCAGAAGGCTTGGAAGAACGATCAGAGCGATTATTGTCCAACTAAGAGCAGTCATTGTTTGACTAAGAACGGCTAACCGCAATATCCTGCTTCTGTACTCGTATGTTCAGAAGGCTTGGAAGAACGATCAGAGCGATTATTGTCCAACTAAGAGCAGCCGTTGTTTGACTAAGAACGGCTGACCGCGATATCCTGCTTCTGTGCTCGGCTTGCTGCGACCCTGCACGTTGCAACAGCATAAAAACCTCTGGAAAAGTAAATGGGGGACCACTCCGTCTCCTCACAAAAGGGCTGATGGTCCCTGCGCAGGTAACACAACTTTTTCTTTTGAACTTGTCGGCGGTCTGGGTTGTTTTCTTTCTGGGAGCGGACAGTAGGCTACAACACTCCCAGGAGAATATCCCGAAGGCCCGGGAGGGAGACGGGAAGGGCTGACCTGTGGTTGCAAATGGTATTTTCAGTCGCCTCTTCGCATGAGAAAGTTGGACGCTGAATAAGGAAGAGCGAGGAAGAAACCGGTGCATTTGACTCCCGGTGCTGGCGACGAGCACTGAAAGTACCAGGGACTGCCAAAGAACTGGCAAGTCTGCCTCTGGAGAAGTGCAGCCGGGATGCTCCTTAAAAGGAAGGATGGAGAGGCTTCGTCCTGTGAATTTTGCACGTGTGATCAAGGGAGACTGATGGAGGGCATCGTGCTTGGTAAAGTAGGGAGGCAGCCAAAAAAGAGGAGGACCCTCCGTGGCTGTCACAATGGGCACGAGCATTGGGACAACTGTGAGGGCTGCAAAGGACCGGGCAGGGTCCCCTTCTGTTGCACAGGGAGAGCCGAGGAGTCAGAAGCGTCCGGACGGCGCCTCACAATGACCATGCTTTCTTAAGAAGCCTCCTCTTCCGCAGATGAGCAGAGAGAGCCCACCACCTCTCTGAATTCCGGCCCATCTTTCAAGCATGGGAACATCCCCATTCTGCAAGCAGAGGGCAGCTGGCTGGCCCAGCCACCTGGTGACAGGCTCCCTGGGTTGTCATTCCCACTGAGTCCCTTTGTGTCCCCCTCAGAGAAGGTGGAGACAGTCTTTTACTGCCAGCCGGTCCCTGCCGACTCACAGCAACCCTTCAGCACCGGGTGGAACTGGCCCTGTGGGGTTTCCACGGTAACTCTTCACATGAGTAGCAGCAAGCCTCGTCTTCCTCCCGAGGAGTGGCTGGTGGTTTCGAACTGCTGAACTTTGGGGTGAGCCATCCAATGCAAACTCCACCAAGCCACCCGGGAGGGCTCCTTCAGGGATTGTCAGCAGGCTATACATACTGAACATTTTCTTTCGGAATTCTTAAAGCCTCGTTAGTTCATGCAGGGTGTCATTTCTGAGCAGGGAGTCTTGGTAGTGAGTCACCCTGGCTTGGGGAAAAGAAAGAAGCCAAAGCGAGGAGGGACTCGGGCAGCTGAGCACTGCCCCCGGCCTCCCTACCAAGGTGCTTGGGCACCTGGACACCTTCCCCAGTGCTGTTTCCAGCCTCTGAGAGCAGGCAGCTGAGATGCCACGGGGATTGAGCTGACAGGATTGTCTTGGCATATGCTGTTGCTTTTAACTGATTGGGGCTTCTTCTGTTTCTCACAGGTGTTTCCGGAAGCTCGTGGAATGCCGTCTCCTATACAGAGACCCTCGTGATGAAAGTGTGTCAGGCCTGCCGCTGTCCTGGATGTTTATCGTTCTTTCTCCCACACCCTCCCCTGCAGCCCACCCAGAAGACCTGTGATTCTTCCATCATCAGCTTCTGACTTAAAATATGAAAAAACAAAGGGTTTCTTATCAGATTTCCTGCCTGTTGGTTTTGTCACTTTGGACATGAAACAAAGAGCGCTTCCCGTCCGTGTAGTTTGGAGACATCTTCAGAAGATTCCCGAAATCATCTACAGCCTGCGGCTGTTGATGTCCTTGTCCTGGGACCCCAACACCCTCCTCCCGAGAAGGATCCTCCAGGGAGAGGGACTTCGGGGGACCCCACAGCGCTGGGAGACACTGCCGGGCCATCCCCATCCCGTGTGAGCTATCTATTGAGTGAAGGGATGGCTGGAGAAATCTGAACAGCACAGGGGGACCGAGTAGTTGGGAGGAACCTGAACTGGCCAGGTCTACTGGAGCAAAAGCTACCTGAGCATTTCCTACCGCCTTGCTCGGTCCGTAGGAGAGCAGGCAGACGCCATCTATGAGAGCCTGCCCAGCAGACCAGGAGGGACCATCAGATTGAACGATGCGGCTTGAACTTGCAGCTCAAGTGGGAGCAGGAAATCCTCTCCCCTGGATGCGGAGGAGAGCAGTACCTGGTGGATGGTGGCAGCCAGGTCGGACCATGGAACCCCCAGGTCAGAGCTGTGAAATTGACAAGAGGCGTTCCGAGGAGAGCCCCCCGCAGGAGCATGGCGCAGGACTCATGGCCCGACGGCCCACGAAGCACACTCTTGTCTTGGACTTTTCAGCACGTGACCCAAGGGTCTCTTCCTCTGCGACTTGGGTCGGAGTTGAGTTTTCTGCTGTTGGTCATGCTAGGATCTCTTCCAAAGGTTCTGGGAGAAAGCTCTCAGCGCACGCTTGTACTAGACTAAGAAACCAACAAACAAACCCACACTCCCTGCCATCGAGTCGGTTCTGACTGATAATGGCCCTAGGACAGGAGCCGGAAGACTCATCTTTCTCCCACAGGGAGGCTGGTGGCTTCGAACTGCTGACCTTGCTGTTAGTCGCCCAAAAGATAACCCTCTCTGCCATCAGGGCTTTTTGTGTTAGAGAAGGACCGCCCAAACTCGGGAAGAGGAGGCAGACTCAGAACTCCCTGTGGTCTTTCCTCGGGAGAACGCTTATCTCTGGGGAGATGCAGAGGCCACATCAAAACGAGGCAGTACATGCAAGGCGGGCGTCTCTTGGCCAGCAGGTCAGAAAGAAGGAGAGTCGGTCAGGCGTTACCTGATAATGAACGCTCTGGGAGTCAGAGGAAACAGACTGCAGGTCCTAGGAGAGAAAAAGAGACAGTCGCTTCCTGAACATGAACGTAAACAGGCTTCCCCACAACTCCTAACAGCTGAAATCAAGGGAAAGTTCTGAACTCACCTGAAAACTCACCTGAAAAGCCTCTCTTCTCGCCCATGGCTGAGTTCATTGCCACTCACAAAACCCCATGTGGAGGCGGGGAAGACCTGCTCCTGACTGAAACCCCATTGCCAGGGAGTCGCTTCCAGTTCATAGCAGCCCCATCGGGCAGGGCAGAACAGCCCCCATGATGTTCTCAGATGTCAACCCTTTACAGGAGCAGAAAGCCTCCCTCGTCTCAGAGTGGACGGTGGTTTCGAACTGCTGACCTTGTGGTTAGCCACCCAACGCATAACCCACTATGGCACCAGGGCTGCTCCGCTGGAAGCAGATCAGCAAGTGTTATTTCTCAGGCACCCGTGGGTGGGTTTGAACCGCCAACTTTTGGGTTAGTAGTCCAGCACTTTACCATCGGCACCACCCAGAGAATCCAGAAAGTGCTATCTATTCACTCAAAAGGACTCCGGTTGAAAGAAGACAATAATACAATCATAATAAAAGCAGGCTACATTGGATGAAGGGGAGAAAGTTCACTTAGCTTACAAAGACTAAATAAGGCTTCGAGGTGGGAGATCAATGCTAAATTTCAAGGACCGAGAAGGCCAAAAGTAAAGCCAATTCTGTGGTAACAAGTAAGGGTCATAGGTAAGCTGATCCTTAAAAGAAGCTTCTTCGGAAGTCTCTAGAAGCACTTAGAAAGACTTGCTTTCTTTAGGCCCAATAAATACTGCCATGTACTTGTGTTTACACTGATAACTCACTTGGCAAATTCATGGACTGTATACGGAAAATCACCTGACATCTTCACGTTATCACGAAGTGCCAATTACCGGGCTTCAAATTAATGAGGTTGTGCTGGCAGGTTCTGAAAGCCTGCCTCCCTTTATCGGGTTGTATAACGAAGGTGTCACCCCCATCAGGTCCCCGCAGGCATCCTTGTTAGCCAGGGAAGTGATTCTATTTGCAGGTGTCAGCGTTCTGGGTACCTCTGTCCTCAGGCCTGCTTCCCACAGGGCTTTGTTAGCAGACTCTGTGCCCAAGGTAGGCTGAGAACTTTTCCTCTGGCTGAATTTCCCCCTTCTCTTCTCTGGGGCTTGTTTTCAACTGGCTACAGGTGAGATAACTCACTCACTGCAGCGAGTCCCACTCCTGCTCATAGTGACCCCAGAGATCAGAGTCGAACTGCCCCTGTGGGTTTCAGAGACTGTACATCTCTGTAGGCATAGAAAGCCTCATCTTTCTCCTGTGTAGCAACTGGTGGGTTTGAACTGCTGACCTGGTGGCTTGCAGTCCAGTGTGTCATCCACTATGCCAACAGGGCTGCGATAGATTTTGTCACAAACCCAAAAATCTCCTGGCCATCAAGTCAATTCTGACTCATGGCCATGTACACTGGTACAGCTAGGAACTGGAAACACAGGGACTCCAGGGCGGGTGATCCCTTCAGGACCAGTGGTGTGAGTAGCGATACTGGGAGCGTAGAGGGAGAGTGGTTGGAAAGGGGGAACGGATTACAAGGATCTACATGTGACCTCCTCCCTGGGGGAAGGACAACAGAAAAGTGGGTGAAGGGAGACATTGGACAGTGCAAGATATGACAAAATAATAATTTATAAATTATCAAGGGTTCATGAGGGAGCGGGGAGCAGGGAGGGAGGGGAAAAAATGAGGAGCTGATGCCAGGGGCTTAAGTGGAGAGCAAATGTTTTGAGAATGATGAGGACAACGAATGTACAAAGGTGCTTTACACAATTGATGTATGTATGGATTGTGATAAGAGTTGTATGAGCCCCTAATAAAATGATTAAAATTTCTTAAATTGTACGAGCCCCCAATAAAATGATTAAAATAAAAAAAAGAAAAGAAATGCCCCTGGGATTTCCAAAGCTGGAACTCGGAAGTGGAAAGCCTCCTCTTTCTCCCTTGGAGTGGCTGGTGGTTTTGAACTGCTGATCTTGCAGTTAGCAGCCCAAAATGAAACCACTACACCAGCAGGGCTGCTATCAGTTCTGTCTGGATGTATCAAAGCTGCCTTAGCAGCTTTAATATACAGGTGCTTCTTTCAGTAAGAAACGATACAGCAGTTGCTGTCTGCTTCTTTTGTTTATTTATTGAATAAAGGTAGTTGATACTCGATGTTTTGCAAGTAATACATGAAAGGTTTGGATCTGCTGGTTTTTGAGGGGGGGATCAGATTCGGGGCACTTTTCAGTGTGAGATCCATGCCCTTCTGATTCCAGGTGGCATAACCAGAGGGGGGGGGGGCGGCAGGCAGAGGGCCACAGACTTTTCCATTGTGTTCCGACATGAAATCCTATGGGCAAAGAAAAGGTTTTTCTTTCCTGCAGAAGTTACACTGCTGAAAGAATCGGCTGTCTCTGACAGAAGTCTACTGTGGGTGCGAGCATCGGTAAGGACATGTTTAAGGTAAGGACATGTTGTTTAAGAAAGGCAAGGACATGTTTAAGGTAAGGACATGTTTAAGAACCCTTTCTTAAACAACAGTGTCAAGATGTGGAGCTGTTGTTTCTTGGCCTCTCCACCTAGGTGTATACACCTTTGGAGGAGGCATGTCCCTCGCTCTGTCCCTTCCTCCCAAGACTTCCAGGCTATTCCATTGACATCCCATCAGAATGGCGGCGTGGGCATCCCGAAGGAACTCAAGCCGTGTTGCTTTTTAATGTGCGTTGCATTTGGGGAGCACAAGGAAGCCTGAAAGGCTAAGGTCAGAGCTGGAGGGTGGCTGGAGTGAGGCTTCCCATGGGAATTCTCCTAGCACAGCTCTGGCTATGCTCTGGAGAAGGAGCAGGTGCATTGCTGCGATGGGGGAGTTGGGGAGGTGCCCCTCGGTGTCACTTTTCTGTCCGTTTTCTATATTCTTCAAATGCCTTCCTGATAAGCTCCTGGCGGTGTAATGCGTCCTTTAGGGAAAGCTGTCAAACCAGCCACCATCACCTTCCGAGCTGACCTCTCTCATTTGACTTGACCTGGCCCCGCAGGTGTGCTCGGAAGCCGGGGTTTGATTGGGCCTTTCCTTGGGAGACTAAGGAGACCGAGGCAGAGGTCTCGTGTATCAGGTTACTGAGAGACTTGCCTGTGGCCATGCTTAAACACGCGATGTTGGAATCCATCTGTGCACGTGTGCACTGGAAGCCTAGCAGCAGTACGGCTTGCCCCTTTGTCACTACAGACTCCAAGTCCAACCCCATCGTCCTTTTCACTTTCTGGTCACTGAGACCACTGTTTGGGTTTGAGGGTAAGAGACCGCAGGGTGCTTTGTTTGGGTTTGTTCTGAAACACGCAGAGCATCAGAGTTGACATAGCCCGTCTCCCGAAATGAAAGCGGAGCCCGTACTCGTTGACTTCACTGTGGTATCACATGTCAAACCAGCCCAACGAGAACCCCGGGTCTGTTTGCATCGCTCGACAGCATCCCTGAAAATTCCGTGTAGCTCAGACCTTTCAGACATGCAGCTTGGCAAGAACGCATCCAAGGTGCTCGTGGTTAAAACGCTGGGCTGCTTACCAGAAGGCCAGCAGTTCAAGCCCACCAGCTGCTCTGCAGAAGAAAGGCCTGGTGCCCTGCGTCTAGAGGGAGACAGCCAAGACATCCCACAGGGGCAGTTCTACTCTGTCCTGAGGCGTCGTGGTGAGGTGGAATGTGCTCAAGGACAATGACAAGAAGACAAGGAACTCCAAAACAGGGAGTGGGACACCCTAGAATAACCTCACCCTGGTGGCATAGTGGTTAGGCTTTGGGCTGCCAAGCACAGGATCGGCAGTTGGAAGCCACTAAATGCCGCAGAGGAGAAAGAGGAGGCTTTCTACTCCCGTAACGAGTCGCAGCCTCGGAAACCACAGGGGCAGTTGTCCTGTCCCAGAGGGTCGCCCTGAGTCAGAACGGACTCGATGGCAGTGTGTTGCTGTTCTGCCCTGACCCTGAACAGTCCTCTCCCAGGTCCTCCACCTCTGGGGAGTAAAAGAGGCCCAGGGGGGAGAAGACGCTCTCGGATTCAACAGTGAAGTGCTCAGCTGCTAGCTGGAAGGTGGTGGTTCAACACACACACACACACACACACACACACACACACACACACACACGGCTGGTGAGTGGTTCAACACACACACATACACACTCACCCCCACCCACCCCGCCCCTGCAGTATAACAGCCTGGAGATCTCTTCCATAAAGACTACAGCCTAGACAACCCTCCGGGACATGTCTACTCTACGACATGGACTCTCCATGAGACCGAGTGGAGGCCACAGCATCCCACAGTGGGTGGGAGGAGGAGAAGACCAGGTGGCCTGTGCTCAAAGGACAAAAACCAAGCTCCCTGCCGTCCAGTTGATTCTGATTCACACAGCGACCCTGTAGGCCAGGGTAGAGTGGCCACACAGGGTTTCTCGCAGCAGCAGCAGCGTGGCACATACTCCCCCAGGTGGGCTTGAACCACCAACCTCCCGGGGAGGGCCCCATGCATACTGGCTGCACCACCAGGGCTCCTTCGCGTAAGGACCTGGCTGCCACATTTCCACTTGCTTCCACTGGCAGAGTTGCCCAGTTGCTGGTTGTTGGTGGGAAGGAAAGGCGGAGGAGAGGGCCAAGCGGATGGAATGCACTCACCTCTTGCAGCCGGTCTATGTACATGCGGCACGTGTCCAAGTCACAGTCTCCACGCACGACAAGAATGCCCAGAGGGATGGCTGGGGGCAAGGAAAGAGAAACGCTCAGACGGGGGCCGGGCAGGTCACCGGCAGTGTCGGCCTACTTCTTGGGATTGAAAACAAAGGCCAGAAACTGCAGTGGGCCTTGCTGTCTCATCTTGTGGATATAAGCACCCTCTCCTAGGCCCCCCTCCTCAGCAGTGGCCCTGTTGCCTGCCCCTGGCCGCCTGGAGAGCCTTTGATTCTAGCCCTGTGGAGTGTTGGTGACAGGGATTCTGCAGGACCAGAGAGCTGCTGGTCCTTTCTGCCAGCATTTGCAATGTGCAGCATGGGGTGTGGTCCACAGGAATGAGACAGTCGGGATTCAGGATACTCAGTCCCTTCCCTGGGGGATGCTGAAACAGCTTGGGAGCTCACCCTCTTGACAAGCTACACCTCCCAGCTCTGTGAGACTCTAGCTGGCTGAGACACTGTTGCCACCTGCTGGCAGATATCAGAACTGCAGGCGTGAAGTCTTCAATACAACAGACATTGTGAAGCTTGGAGATGGTCCTGTGGCAACAGGAGCTGAATTAGGCATAGGGTCCCTGGGTGATGGAGAGCACTAATGCATGTGGCTGCTAACTAAAAGACACCCAGGGGGAAAAAAGGCCAAATCTATGGTTTCATTGTTGTTGGTTGCTATTGAGTCTGTTCAGACCCACAGTGACCGAATGCAAAACAGGACAACATACTGCCCGGTCCGGCACCATCCTCACCATTGTGCCTCTGCCTGACTCCACTGTTAAAGCCACTGTGTCAATCCATCTCGTCGTAGCCCCTCTCCTTTACGAAACAATGATGTCCTCCTCCAGGGGCTGGACTCTCCGGACAACATGTCCAAAGGACGGACGACCAAGTCTCACCATCCTTGCCTCTAAGGAGCACTCTGGCTGCACTTCTCCTGACACCGATAAGTTTGTCCTTTTAGAATCCCACAGTCCTTTTAATCCTCTTCGCTAACACCATAAGTACTTGAATTATGGTGTCGGTGAAGAATATAGTTTCACTGAAACATTCAAAAGCTTGAAGTTGACCAAGTAGGGTAGCCAACTGGTGATGCGTGGTCACAGTGAGCCTGGAAGGACCCTGCCCACCCCCCGCCCCTGGTCCGTGGGTTTACTTTTAAAGCACCGTCAATGATAAAGGAGTCTAAACACACAAAGTAGCCGGGCTTTAAACACCAGAATGCAGAATAAGATAGGTGTTGACTTCATGGAAGGGAATTATGAGTCCAACGAGTGGGAGGAAAGGTGAACGGGGGATGAACAAGGGAATGACCAGGGTGATGGGGGGCTGGGGGAAGTCCCAGATCCCTGAGCGTGGTCCTGTGAAAGCGGAAGGGGAGAGGGGTGAATTCCTGCAGGGGGTAAGGGTGAGTGTGGGCTTCACACTTTCTGAAGAACAGAGGGCCAGGCTGGAGGGGCAAGGGTGGTCCAGAGAAGATGGCAGAAGAGTTTGTGTCCAGAACGTGCTTCCAGACTGATTTCCCTTCGTCAGCCCTAACCAGGACACCTAATCACCACCTGAGCCTCAGCCTTAGGGCCCGCAGCCCTGCAGACGTGGAGCTGGAAAGCACCTGGTAGACTCCTGCTGAGCCCACAGGTGAGGCTGGGCTCCGCGGCATGGAGACCAGCTTGTCACCTGTGCCTCTGCAGCCCCGCTGCCTGGGGCTGTACCTAGCAGAAGGAGGAAGACAGGCTGGGAACCTATGGACTTCTGAGAGTGAAAGTGTAACTTCAGTCTCAGCAGGCAAAGGAAGGAGGGTCTGGAATCAGTGTCATCCATTGGAAGACGGTGTGCCTTGGACTGAAGTCTCTGAGCCCATCCTGCCTTAAAGGAACCGGAGAAGGATGAGGCTGGCTGCTCCCATGAGGGTCTGCTGTCTCGGGAACCCAAGATAGGGTGCCTACGAGGCAGAATCGACTAGAGGGTGCTGGGTTTTCGGGGAGTGGTGTTAACACAATGGTCAAGCGTCTGGCCAATAAGCAAAAGGCTGGTAATTTAAACCCACCCAGTGACTCCCTGGTCAATAGGTAACACCACGATGAACGGAGAAAAGATGGAAGCTGACCAGGGCCTTGTCTGGCTTGGATTCCTAATCAGTGCCCATGGAAGCAGCAGTCAAGGGGTCAAAAGACACATTGCATCGGGTCAGTCTGCTGCACAAGGTCTCTTCAACGTGTTGAAAAGCAAGGAGGTTACTTTGAAGATTAAGGTGCACCCGACCTTCAATGCCAAGCCATGCAGGTGAAAAGTGGGGCACTGAATAAGGAGGACCAAAGAAAAATCGATGCATTTGAACGACAGTGCCGGTGAGGAATATTTAAAGCGCCTTGGAATACCAAAAGAACCAGCACAGGTAGGAAAGAGGGAACCGATTACAAGGAACTATATGTGACCTCCTCCCTGGGGGACAGACAACAGAAAAGTGGGTGAAGGGAGATGTCGGACAGGGCAAGATATGACAAAATACCAATTTATAAACTACCAAGGGCTCATGAGGGAGGGGGTGCGGGGAGGGAGGGGGAAAATGAGAACCTAATGTCGGGGGTTTAAGTGGAGAGAAAATGTTTTGAGAATGATGTACAAATGTGCTTTGCACAATTGATGTGTGTATGGATGGCAATAAGAGTTGTATGAGCCCCTAATAAAATGTTTAAAAAAAAAAAAACAAGAACCAGCACATCTGTCTTGGAAGAGATGCAGCCAGAAACACCGTCTCCGGTACTTTGGCCGTGTTCTCTGGAGAGACCAGTCCCGGGAGAAGGACACCGTGCTTGGTCAAGAAAGCAGAGGGCAGCGAAGAGGGGAAGGCCCTGGACAAGAGAGACGGACACAGTGGCTGCAACAATGGGCTCAGGCACAGGAACACTAGTGGGGAAGGTGCAGGACAGGGGTTGCTATGGGTCAGAGCTGACTCGGGGACACCTGTAGACAACAAAAGCAACCGTGACTTCCTGGCGGGGGAAAGCCTAGCCATCTGAGTCCATAGAGCTAACAGCCAAGAAAGCCCTCTGGGCAGTTCGACTCCATTCCCTGTGGCCGCTCTGCGGGGCCAAGGACCCAGCAATGCCCACCACCCGCCCTCAGGAGGAACAGCAGCAAGAGGACCAGCGGGGAGCCTCGGGCGGGCCGAGTACTCGCCAGCCTCAGGTTTCAATATAAACAGAAGCACCGCCAATCTTCAAAGGAAATGGAAGGGAAATTCAATTAAGCAATCCCCTTTAAAGTACTTACTAAAGCCATCATTCTCAGCTAGATACTAAGTAGATCCCAATAAGGCACACGCCACGGAGGAAGAGCAGAAAAAGGGTTTTAATACCCGATGAATTAAAAAACATAAAGCCAGCCTACAGACGAGGGCGGTGTTGGTATAATAGAGCTGCAATGAGCAGGAGAGCTCGCAGCTGGATCCAACTGAGGAAAAGTTCCGCTCGATTTCGACGGTGCAAGGTAGAGAAATGGAATATAACTGCATGTACCAATGTGCTTGGCCATCTAGAAAATGTTCATCTAGGAGGGATATAGGGGTCCAGATGGCTCAGTGGTGAAGCAGCTGGACAGCCAACCAGAAGGTTAGAGGTTCAAACCCTCTAACTGCTGTAAAGAAGAAAGATGGGGTAGTTTGCTTCCACAAACATTCAACCCCTGCCAAAACAACGACCACAGCAACAACCCCACTGTTTAGAGTCCATTCCACTCATAACAACCCTGTAAGAAAGAGTAGAATTGCTCACGGGGCTGTAACTCTTTACAAACTCCACATCCTCCCTCTGTGGAGCGGCTGGTGGGTTCGAACCACCGAGGTGTTGGCTAGCAGGTGAACGCTCTAACCACTGTACCACCGGGGTTCCCTATGTATATAGATTATAGCCTTGGAAAGCCTATGGGGCAGTTCCACTCTGATATGTATATACACACACCCGAACTTCAGAAAGTTTATGGGTAAAGGAGAGTAAGCGATAATTGAGTTTTCCCATGAACTTTATGAAGCCCCCTTGTGTACGTGTGTATGTGTATATATACATATTTAAATGCCAACCAGAATACTATGTACCCTTCATATTTTGTAGAAGTTATGAAAAATTCTAAGTCTGCTCTATTAAACACGCTGGGCCTAGTATGAATGCCGCCAAATGTATGCCTTCAAACGGCGGCTTCAATCAAACGGTGGTCAACTTCAAATCAATCAATGGAAGGACAGAGCCTCCATCTGCCCTCGGTCATCGTAAAAGTCACACGTCCACAGCATCACACCTCTCTGCAGGTTACACAAATGACTTCCTCGGGTTGAACTAAGACTCAGTGATTGGCCTTTTGACCTGGGCACGAGCTTCACTGTCCTTGACCTTGTCCAGTCACCTGGCTTGGGGCTCAGAGATATGACTGGACCCGGGAAGCATCGGTCAACACCGGCCCTACACAATCAAGCCTCCAGTGCTGGGGGTCAGGTGGAATTTACCAATTCCAAGAAGGCAGTGAAGAACCGGCTGGTTTCTGGGTTAAAGATGGGAGACTGGAGACATTTACTGCTCCCTCCCCAGGAACGCAGCTACACTTCTGACCTTCAACTGGATGTTAAGAAGACACACTAAGCCACAAACACAAGGAAAGGATCGTAACAAAGGAGGCAGATGGGAAACTGGGAACTGGCTTGGTGCGTCCAGCGAGGGCGATCTCCAACCGTGGTCAGGCCAGGTAAGAATTGAACCAAGACCCTCAGAAGGCTTGCACGCGGGCAGCGGCAGCCTAAGGCACTGTACGAAAGATGTGGCAAGCCCTGGGAATTCAGGTGGGAAATTAGGTAGTAGGCTTGGAGCTGAGCAGTTCTAAGAGATTCGAAGTTCAAATTCACCCAGGGATCCCTCCGATGAAGTGACTCAACTTCCAAACAATGGGCCACAGAAAACCCTGCGGAACCCTGCTCACCCACAACACGCAGGAAACCACTGAGCACACGGGGTTCCAGATCGGTTGAAAGGTTCAATGGCTTTTCA